AGMWKRTWKTAWKAAKAMYAMYWAKTAAACCATGCATAAGGACACCAATCACTAGAGCTCTTTTTTCTTGCCTGAGTAAGTGCAAGAATTKTATCAATTGATCACTGTATTGCCATAACAATTGTAACAATGCACATGTTGCAATTTGATTGAAATTMTTTTCAACTACCCAAACTGATTAATCTCTCTTCTTTTCAACCAACCACAGCATCCAGTCAACCATGGGATTCATCACGTAATCACTATGTTACCATCCTGAGATATTCCCAGACCCACTTGGAAGAAGCCCTCAACAAGATCCTCCAACAAACAGGGAACCTCATTGGTAGTGGCTGCAGAGGTCTTCATGGAGGTCAATAGGATTTGGTTGTGTCCTATGGTGCTGCACTGGAAGTTGTACAAGTTGATGAGGAGGTTCATGATGATCTTCCTATCTCCAAGCTCTTCCTAGAACATTCTTTCTTTGATCCTTGGGAGCTGTCCCTGGATCATCCTCATCCCCCATTCTTACATCATCTGTCTTAAGGATGTGGCATCCCTGTTAAACAATAGGAGGTTGTCTCTCTCAGGATCCCTCCTCTGTTAGCTCTTGATGAGGCTAGTATGTTCCATCTAATGCTTCAATGCAAATGCTGAGACCACAACAACCTTTGCACCATTGCACATGTGATGGACCTCCTCAATCTTTTGATAGACACCATGGTTGGCAATACCACTGTCATGCCAGGCCCCTGGACAGTTGTATACTGCTATCCTGATTCTACCATCTGGGGCAAAGGCAAAAACACTACTATTAACAACAAAGGTGTTCTCCTTCCAGGCATTGTATCTAATGCTCTTTGTTTATACCAGTCCTGTGACTGTTCAATGCTACTCTTGAGTCCATTGGCAGCACGCCAAACAAATTGTTTTCCAAGCCTTGGATACTTGTCTCCAATAGCCTAAACATAAGCATCCACTTCATGCTCAGTCAGAACACTGACCATGGCATCTGGGTGTTTTTGAAGAGCTCTTCTTGAAAACTTGAGCCACTTCTTGTACATCACTGTGRATGTCAAGCCAAAGGCCATTACCATTGTTATTGCAACAGATCCTCTTGTCCTGTACCAATAYAGGAACATCCCAATAGCACAGACAACATCAACCTCCCTCTTCTTCCCTTGTTTTGCTTGCCACTGGGATAACAAGGAACTTCCACGATCTCATTGTCGTTGTTGACAGTAAATTTGTTGTATACTGGAGCAAATGCATCAACAAGCTTCCTGAAGACCTTGTGGTCTACACCACAGCAGTTGAGCAATGGTTGATCAAGTCCTGAGTGAAAGAGATGGTGGTGGAAGGGGGAATCTGCATCATATGATCTGCGGATAGCAAGCCGGGGGGTTCTCCTCCCATCCCTCCTTCGATGCTCTTCTGGATTTCTTAGCTTGTTTTTATAAGTTTTGGCTTCCCCCTGGTCCTCATTCAGCTGGATGAACCAGTACATCATAATGACTTCCACTGCTCCCATGGTGGCCTTATTTGTTGCCAGAGGGGAGCACTAGTAGTACTAGTAGTAGTAGTCGAATGTTGTTTCTACTAGTAGGACGAATAGTAGTTTGTTGACTCRTTAGCTAGTCGTGCAAGGAACWCACATATTTTTGATACTGACACTATGAGAGTATTGAAAATGTGTGTGTTTCTATCACTAATAGCAGTATCCATGGTAGGATTGAAAATTCCATGTTTTTCTTTGTAGTACGAACAACAACAAGAACAAGTGGCACGCCTCGCGCCTCTTTTCTTAAGTCATTACGTTGGAGTACTATAGTTACTACGAAAAAGATTCCAGATTTCAAAAAAGACTGAGATGGAAACCTGCCTTCCTCAATGTCTCTCCGTTGAAATTTTGATTCCTTTTATTTCAGAATTGCTAAATTTGCTAAATATTGCAGTTTAGCACATGTAGTATAATTTTGGGAATCATAACGTGAATGGCCCAATTACTTTTTCCGATGTACCGGTAGGGGCATGATAGGTTTTTCACTGTTTACGTACGGAGCTTTTATCGTACCTATCGTAATAATGGAGGTTAAGATGCGATCAACGCTATTATTCAACCCCCCCCCCATTTGTAAGTCCCGAAGTTTATTCCCCCAATCTCCTTGCTCGAACAAACACCTCTCAAATCTCCTCCTCCCCTCCGCACTTTCTGTATCGAAACAAAACAAAAAACAACTACAGTACCGTACGGTACGGTACTTTGTAAAACAAAATAAAATCTTGTGTTGTCACTTCGCATCATCGCCATTACCAATCAACGGGGACAAGAGCCTGCATATAAGGGGGAAGGCACTCGTTCACACCAGCGACCGTACAAGCTTCTAAATTGTTCATGATGGCGACCACATTGGCTTCGTCAGCACGAAGAATCGGCCGACAACTATCTTTTGTCGCCAGACAATCAAATCGGCATTACAATACTTCACTGCTTCTGCGATCGCGATGTTTTGTCACCGCTGACGTTCCAGGCAGTCTATCAAGGCCGGTTGAGATGAAATCGAAACGAGCCTTTGCAACGAAAAAAAAGAAAAAAAACGCAAGTAAGAAAGACGACGACGAATCTCTGTCCTATTTCGAACGCAAGGTCGCAAGCAAACAATTGCGCGTCGAAGCGTACAAACATAAAGTGGAACGCGCCAGTCGGATCAAATCTCGCCGCGACAACGCTCCAAAAGATGTTAAGAAAGAAGAATTCCTTTCATGGTGGTCTGGTCGCAGAGCATATGAGGAACAAATGGATCGAAAAGCCCGACAGGCCGGAATGGATTGGACGATACAGGTTGCAACCGTCGTTGAACGCCTGCCCATCGTCATGCCCGACAAAGCGGATTTCGAAACAGAATTTGAGGATTTGCAAGCCTACCTACAAGCACATCGTGGGAAGCAGTATCCCCAGGAATTCTTGGGAACCGAAGGAGGGGGTCGGCCTGAAGCTTATACAGACGAAGAATTGATGGGTACGTAAGACAATCAAAATGGATTCAATGGTCTAGCGAATGGAATGATTTCAAGGTTCAGCGTTTGCGTCTTTGTGTATCGCTGCACGGTGCATTCCTACGACATGCATCGAATTTTCTTCGCAGATCTTGGTTGCTCATGCTTTATCATTTTTTCGCTTGCTCATATCATTGCTGGCATGATCTCGTACTCTGATTCAAACGTTGAACTACAAAATCGGTGGTTCGATGATGCTTTATTGTTTATTTCTCTACTCTGGTTTAAAATTCAATGGTAGCTCTACTTCCTGAAAACTTCAAACCTGCTCCTCGTGAGACAAAGGCCGACGAAGACGGGTCTGTTAACACACTGGATCGACGCTTGAAGGATCGCGTATACTTATTCATCGGTGATTCGTTCCCGACCACGGAACTCAAAGTATCGGCGAACGAACACGATCGGTACGGCGAGAAATGCGAATCTCTTTTGGAAGCGGCTCTCCGTGGTATCAGAGAACAAACATCCAGAGGTGGTGGTAAGAAGAAAGGCGAGCTTCCTCTTGACTTGTACTGTGCTTCCGAGACACCGTTGGGAGTCCGACTAGATGTTTACGACGACGAAAAGCAGAAGTCAACGGGATCGTTCGGTACCAAAACTTTTTTTATGAAGGTTCAATACGATGATGGTACGCTTAAGGGTGGTGACGTAGCTTGGTTGGATCGATCGGAAATTGTAGACCGCTTCCAGTCCGCCTCGAAAGACGACGAAGCTAAATTCTACCGATATCTACTATAAATAAGCTTGTACACTTTGTTTATATCCAGCGAATAAAACCAAGAAACATTACTAAGTCCATCATCGTCTTGTCTTCACTCTGACCATAAATTGATACCAGCACGATCAATTTTATTCAAATCAAACAACAGAACCTTTACGATAAATCTCATGTGGATGAAAAGTGTAATAATTCGCAACTGCACAACATATCATGTCGGCATCTCACTCTTCGTGTATTCGTAGTCTTGACATCTTGATAACTTTAGAACTGGAGACCCACAGTTTCCTCTAGATACAAATCCTCTAGATACAAAAACGACAACTACCAGAGCCGTCAAAATAATGGTTTGTGTTTGCACCAAAGAAATTGTGTACTTGTCCTGTACGACTAACAATATAAAGACTTCACAGGACTGGAGTTTTTGTTTTGTCTGTGTTTTTCTGTTCCCGTCGCATTCTGTATTTTTCGCACTTGAACGTTGCAGTACTAGAAGTACGGTGTAGTCCCTGTACTACGTACGGAAACGAATATTTCGAATTTTTGATGTCACGACCAATCTGTTCACAATGTGATCTATCTTCTGTTTTTCTGTTCGACTTCCGAATTCCAACAACCTCCATCGTCGCTATCAAAGGAATGAAACCGTGACAGCAATCGATAATTACACAGAACCACGCAGTAGTTGTTGCCCATTCCCATGTTGTTCCGTGCTTTCTGGACATGTCTACTGCTCGTCGGCATCGGCGTCGACATCGTAACATCGTGGGGAGAAGATGGGTAGGATGATAGGTCATGCTCTGTTATACTGCTTTAGTTGTTCTCTCTCTCTCTCTCTCTCTCATGTTGATCTTTTCCTATTGATTTTTGTTGCCATTGTTAGCCACATCATAATCGGTATGTACAATCGAGTTGGGCGAAATTGATCGAGCAAATCGGTCGAAATACGAAGCACAGAATTCATTGCCAGAAACAAAAATCATATTTTATGCGTCCGTTTTCTCACGATGAAGATTCCTCTCATCTTTAATTCTTTTTCACAGCAAACTTGGCGTGGCGACGCCTTTCAACGCAGGTTCAGGTCCAAGTTTCTACAATATTGAACATAGCCAACGCCACTCAAGTTGAAGATTTAGGATCTCCGATGGCTGTTGTAGCCAACTGGGCAGACCACGTTAGACCGTTTTTGCCATGGACTGGGCCAATGCATTTCATAGATGTGAGAGATGATCTTATCGAAGGCGGATGTCACTTTCATTATGAATCCTTGAGGACGGGAGGCAATGATTCTTCTGCAACCTCCGACCTGTGCGAGTTTCAATACTACCATCGAGACTGCGTGAACGAGATATGTGTCGCGGGAGCTATTTTAAATTATTCCACACAGCTTATTGAAGGGCAGCAGCAGCAGAAGCTTGGAACAAAGGATGAACAAAACTTCAGAATTTCATCTTCCTCGCGCCATTTGAGGCAAGGATTTGAAACGGAACCAGTGACGATCGATTACAGTATGAAATACATGCGACAAGCTCTGATGTTCCTCATTCAGTAAGTCTTCGTGCCTCAAAGATATTGTCGATGTACCATATTGAGGAACAATTCAATTGATCTTTCTGACACTTTTCTTTCCAATCCTAAAAAATCGTATTTCAATCTGAAATGATAAGTTTTGTTGGTGATATACACCAGCCCTTGCACGTGTCGCGAACTTCTGACAGAGGAGGGAACGATATTCCTATCAAATACAACCCTATCAATGAAAATACAACATCATACGCTGGAGAACACAACCAGCGGAAAAATCTTATAGAGCAGTATTCTACCACTCACTACCATGCTCATAATCTTCACTCTGTTTGGGATACTGCTATGATCAAAACGGCACTGGAACGAGATTATAGCTCTGATGCTGAGTCCAAACCTCGATATGCAATGGAATCAGCTCTGGAATCAATTTTGACAAATCATACTGACTGGTTAGAGCAATTCACAAGTTGCCAAAAGGGGTCAGGAGCTCGTCATTTGGAATGTGTTATTGGATGGGGACAAGAAAGTTGGTCGCAAGCCCTGCAATACGCGTACACTAAGAACTCGCCATGGGTAACTGATAGTAGAGATATCATAGAGGTTGCCCCTGGCGACGAGATTGATGAAGCTTATTATAGAAGTCGAATCCCTATTGTCGAAGAACAATTGATTGCAGGAGCTATTCGGTTGGCGGCTACTCTAGAAGATATCTTTGGTCATAAGGAGGACATGAATGGTTGCAATGGATCGAAGCCTGGAATGGTACAGCAGACATCACGAATGGAAGGTATCCGCACGTGGTCTTACATTTCGCTATTGCGCTATTGAACGAGACTGACCCTCAAAGGAGCCAATTGAAATTTCTACAGAAATATTCCACAAGTATAGCAGCAAAAGCGAATCTTCAGACGCATACGTCGGTTAGTACTTTAGAGTTTGAGATTTAAACATGAACAGATATTATTCTCTTTCTCTAGTCCGCTCTAGCAATAGATCAAAATCAATGTAGGGTTCGTAATGATCAATTGCTACTCCGACACGGCTTCTGTCGTCAATATTCAACTTCGGCGTGAAGCGATGAATTTTTGTCATTGCCGCATGTGTCGTTCCCTCAACCAGCATGATACTAGGGCCATCTCCATCCATTTCACGAATCCTTGCTTCGACTTCAGCACTAAGAATGTATGTGTCTTGGCGACCACAAACCAATAATGCTGCTTCAAAGGGAGATCCAGACGGATCCTGCTGACGACGTTGATACTCATCCAAAAATCCCAAGATGAGATCGTCACGTGTAACGTGACAAATGTAGAGAGTCCGGGATGGTTTACGACTTTTAATGTTCTCCAGAAACCGCTTCAAACTAGTCGTGACCAAGTTGATATCGGACATAGTGTAGTGACGAAAGCGATTCTCGTCCGAATCCCCAATAATCAATTTCGTCTTAAATAGGCGCTCGAGATCAATTAATGCGGGACACCCGAGACTGAGGTAGTGCATTTTGAACAGGAGCATCGGTAGTGGGTAGAGAACAGAACCAGCGGCAAAGGATAAGGATGAATCAGTAGAACGAAACAAAAGCATTGATTAATATTTTGTGTTAATTTTTCTTTTGCAGAACGCACTGCCAATTCGATGATGAACTTACTATGGTCGATCAGGAATACACCCCAATAAAGGAATTTCCCAAGTCTGCATCATTGCTTTTGCTAAGTAGTGCTTCGTTTGTTCATACTTTTCTGGTATAACTTTGTTGATGATTACCCCAGCGATCCGTACATTGTTCTGCTCGCACAAGACTCGATTTAATTCAAGCTGATCGAAAGCCTTTCCCAGTCCACCGTTAGCACTGACGATGACAGCAATGGTGAGAAAAAGAAATAGATCAGAAATGTTAATGGAAACAGAATGAATGTTTCCCTTTGATAAGATTTGCAACGATTGCATGAGCAACGGTCCAAGAAAGACAACAATACATTGTACCATCTGCGGGATACAACAACAAAAGCCAGTGAAAATACAAGCTCATGTGCAAACAAATCATCTTACACTAGGATCATATCCGCTCCCAATATACTAGCGACTTTTGCATTGTTCAGTCCTACAATGCTTCCAACAGCACAGTGTCCTGTCCCTTCTATCAATGTGACGGCGGAATTCGATGAAATGTATTCAAATGCATTCTCGACCTCGCGTTGTTGATCAATTGTAGAGATCTCTCCGTCAACAAACTTCCTGGTGTATCCACTTGGAATAATGACAGGACTCATGTGTTTATAATCGATGTGGTCGAGGTCGAAATGTTCCTTGATCAATACAACGTCTTTGTCGACTCGAATCGAGGTCTTCGTTTCGTCATTTGTTTCCACTTTCACATGCTGTTGTCCAACAGGTTTGATGAATCCGACGGTATCAAACCGTTTTTTCAGACCGCTCAGTACCGCTAGAGATGATGTGGTCTTTCCTACGTGTTGCTTCGTTGCCGCGACAAAAATTGGTCGTTGTTTCGGGTCGGCTTTCGAAGCACTGGAAAAAAGCATTCGAGAGCACCAATAATTGCTTTCATCATTATTATTCTTGGAGAGAAATGAAGCAGAAAACGAAGGAAGAGTTCCTAGGGACAGAGATTTATTCACTCTCGCGATCAATCTGATATTCGGAGACAAAGAAGTAGATGGCATTTTGGTTTGTTCTTCTTGTTTCTAACTCAGCCGATATTGTTCTTTGTGGATTTTTTAATGAGGACTAAGTCACCGCGATATTTCCATTAAGTTATTGAAGTATCTATGTGAACTGTGAAGGTCGCAATAACATTCGTATCTTCTATCTTCTGCCAAAGAAAACTGTGTGCTTGCTAATCCAATTTTTCTGCAACTTAAAACATAAACTACGAACCGGGTACGTACTTGTACGTGTAGTACGTACAGTATTGGTTTTTGAGATCGTTCACATCTTTTTTTGATTTTGACACGAAAACATTTGACGCGGAGAGTGATCAGGTTCTACGGTACGAGAAACGAGAACGTACTGCTACGCTATTATGTTAGTTTGTTTGTACGATACTACGGTACGAGATGATTTTTTCTCATTTTATTTCGTACGCATCTGAAACTCATCGTATAGACGTACGTAAACTAGTACTGTACTTACTCAGAAAGCAAACATGTTCTTCGACGATGGTACGTACGTACCTGTTCTTACGGTACGACGCTTAGAGCGAGTACCACTTCGACACCGTGCCGTACGTTCTCTACAGGAGGGGTCATTATTTTTCATGACCTCGCTCTGCTATCTTGTACTTCGTACTATCATACAAGTAGAGTTTGTAGTMGTATCTTCACAGAGTGATGATGTCAGTCATCGAAAAGGGGGATTATAAATTGGAAGTTTGGGGGGGTGTCATAAGACAATGAATATTAGTATTCATAACTGAATAGTAGATATATCATTCAAAGAGGTGGGGGACCATCGCCAATTTAGCATGAGTTTCATCTTACATCGAAAACTCGACATCTCCCTCCGACAACTTCCTTGCTATCGATCCTACAAGTATGRATGTTTGTCATTTTTTGACATTTCCAGAATCTCTGTGATAATAAGAATAATTCCTTYCATATTTGGGAACCGCTGCTAGAGATCAAGACAAGACAAATATGGAGACTTTAAATATGAATGATGTACATACATCTGGGCTTTCAACGAGTGAAATATTTCTTCGAGTACCTCGGTTGAACGAACATGATATTGACGAAAATTTGTCGGAAATCGATGTAGAGACGATCGAAGAATTTGAAGATGCATGGCAAGAGTTTCTTTCTTCGCGTCCCGGGGTCTTGCCGCCTGGACGGAAAATCAAGAAGTGCAAACAAATCGAGACTCAGATGAAAGAAATAGAAGGAAAGAAACAAAACGTATGCTTGGAACTTCAGCGACATCTTGATTTCTTTGCTGCATCCAGGGACAAAGTAGAAGAAAAGTATAAGAATGCAAAAGAAGATGCAAAACTTCAGCAGAAGAATATCAAAGAAGAACTTGAGCACGAAATTGATGAAATTGCAAAAGCCGACAAACTCCTTTCTGATGTTTTGCCATGGGAACACTTTTTTGAAAACCTCGAATCTAACACAACGGCGGTGCATAACGGAAGTGTTGCATCTATGAGTGCTGGCACAAGTCAGAGCCAACAAGTGAAACCCTCCGCTGAAGCGCTTTATTTGGCAGACATTCGACCTGGTGAAGTTTTCTACGCAGCCAGACGCGGAACATCCAAGGCGCATTTTCTTCGCGCCTACCGTATTGACAACGCCCTGCTCAAGGCGAAAGCAGCGATGCTCCGCCGCGAAACGGAACGTCTGGAAAAAGTTGTCAAGTCAGAGCAGATGTTGTCTCAAATTCTGACAGAGAATGATGTTTGGGGAGTCATGGCTGCAAGTAGGTGACGAACAGCACTAYTTTTTATTTATTTGTAAGACGAAGCTCTGCCGGACAAACATAACTTCTGAAACATGACTTCTGATACACGACTCCTGACACATAATTGACTGTATATCTGGTACTCGCTCATCACTTTTGCGATGAATACGAGAAAGATGAGAGAAAAACGACGATAAGAAAAATTTGGATTTAGATAACAGTACGAATTTCTTTGCTCTTATTTTCGAATTTGATCCATTCATTAGATAGCAGAAATACTGCGCCGGTATTAATAACTACGACGAAAAACCTTATGCGGCGTTGTAAAATAAACAATCTATTTCCGTACTAACTAACTTTCACACTTTCGGGCGTTTCCATTCTATTCCAACTCGTTCAGCTTCGCATTCTGATTCAAAGTAATGAGAGCTTTGTTGGAGATTTTCTTGAAACGGTTGTACTCCTTACGTTAGTGGACAACCCACTTGGCCAATGGCGAAGGGCTGGTTTCGGTGTAGGGAACATTGCATTATCCCATCTGGCGCTGGAAGGTTTCAAGCTTATTGAACATATCATCCCAGGATGTAGGAGAGGGATATTTTTCCCACCAGAAAAATCTATACTCTCAAGCTTGGTGACACTCTCGGCTTTGAGTTTTGTATTTTGGTAAGCAAATTTTTTATTGTTAACAAGCTCTGATGTTTGGGTTCTTGGCAAGTGAAACTTTGCAGTTACCATTTTCCCTGCTGAACATTATTGACCATTGGTCAATCGCATCTATAACAGAGCCTTCGTCATCGCTCAAGGTCTCCTCCTCCTCTTCCTGTTTGGTTTGTATCGTACTGCGTTGATCTAACATCTTTGACAGAGCAATAGCCTGATTCTCGTATTGTCACACGCATAGTCAATTCTGCGYTGGATAGCTCTTCGATAGTCATGACTGTGTCTAAATCAGTAACAAACATGAGTATGTCATTTCCCTCTCTTTTGTTCGAACCGTCAGAAATCCTAAAACTGTTTGAATGGTTAAAGTTTATGCGTCCGTTCTAGTATTATATTTTAATCTTGATTGCAAATGCGCAGTGCAATGATGAATGTATTACAAACATTGAAAGGAGTTGTATCTGTTTCCAAAATCTGCTCTTGCTCATTGCCTTCCACTTCCGTGTCTTTCACACTCGGATGTTGGTATCGTGAACATACGCAAACAAATACCACAACACGGAGTTCACCTTTCTTTGCGTTACTGTATGCGGAGACTAGTGAAAAGCCCATCTTTTTTCTACCTCACGGAGTTGGTCAATCGAGCGCAATCAAGTATTGTAGACACGGCCAACAGTCCATAACCTTCGAAACGTACGACGAATACCTGAGATTTACTGTAACCAACAAACTCTACATTCAAATCGGAGCATGAGCGCTAAATGCTTTGCGGGCCTTGCGCACACGGTCTGAAGAGTTTACTGAACAAACCTGCAACAGATTCTCGTTTTAATAGAAACTACAACTAAGAAACATGTTGGATACAATTGTTTATATTATTTGTGTTTGGACATGTAAGTTCGACCGGACATGTGTTGTAAACGACATTTATTTGGCCAGCGAAACCACATACCTCGTTGTCATCTCAGCTTTATTATTTGCTTCGTTTCTTCAGAATTAAGCGTCAAGGAAATCATTTGGCCCAACGGATAGTATTAGTTACTACAGCACACGTTTTCAGGATTTGCTTATTTTCGTGATTCAATACGTCTTATGTTGCTGTTGCGCCCAAAGTTCGCTGGCTTACAGATTCGATAATTTGAGGTGGTTGAGGTCAAACGCAACGCGGCTTTTCAGAGTWTTTATCGTATGTTCTTCCATCCGTTTCCCAACTTAATTGTCTTCCCGGTACGTCGATGCTGCCGAATTCAGTTGAAGAGAGGCAAACAATCCCAACATTACAGAGAAGGACAACAAAACGCCTAGACCAGGCGTAAAATTGGGTTCTACGACGTTGGTGATGAAGTCGTCGATCTCCTGAGGCAAAGGATTGTCGGTGGCCTTGCTTCCAGCTTCGACTGTAATAGCAAATCCCGCCAACACGAAGAGCGTGGTGCACACTGTAACGCCCGCCTTCAAAAATCTATCGATAAAAATCAGAACAGGGTCTGGAATAACCTGTAGCAAATCGAAATCATCGCCCTCGTCTGCTAGTTTTTTCCATTCGTTAATTTTCTTTCGTTGATCATTGATCTGCTTTTGTTTGGCTTCCGCGGCTTCTTGTTCCTCTTTCGTACGAAGGCCGTACTTTTCTCTTAGAATCCTTTTGTTGCGCTCTTCTACACTTTCGTCAGAAGAACCTACTGTTGTAGCTGGCGTCGAAAGTGTAGGAATGGCGTCCGAACCTCCATCGATGCTGGTAAACGCCGACGACTGCTGTTGCTGCTGGGCCGCTGCCCTTGCTTCTATGTTGAATAAGTCTGCATTGTTGCTTTTGCTGGCTACAGGTTTCTCCACCTTTTCTTCCTTTCCAAAGCCCTTTCCAGCTTGGCTCCGCTTTTTCTTCTTTGCCGAAAGCGCAGACGCTGGCAATGTTGCTCTGTTGCTATTTGTCACGAATGATGTCGATTCGTCGATCTGCAGTAGGCCCAAGATGGCAAGAAATACTACGGCTCGAATCATTGCTATTGTTGCTGTTTTTCAATCTCTACTTGATACTTTATTAACTTATACTCAAGCATCAATCTCGGAAGTATAAGCTGTTTTTCAAATAATACTGATTGTAGCTGACTAATTGAGTTGGTTAACGTTACAGCGGGTTCTACATGCGGTATTCATGTTGGTCTTTTGATGATGCCTCGATTGTGATGTGTTAGCTGTCTGCTCTCGATCAGTTGTTGAAGAAGATACAGTAGGGTACACTACCCGTACGGTACACTAAAAGCAAGACGAGTAGGTGACGCGTGTATGGAGAATCAATATGTTCATACCTATTATATATACTRTAAGTATATAGTGTTTATAGTAACAATATGTGTTTAATAATAATAAAAACTCGCACGATGTGTGATTACCTACTCGTACGTTTGGCGATAAGTGACGATTGACGTTTTCGGTTTTCGATGGGTGACACCGAACAAAACATAGGAGGTATGAAAAAATACTGTAATACGAATACTTCTGCGGAACTTAGTCTCGCATCTTCAAAAAACACCTGTCGTGGAGCTTTCACTATTGCACGGTATTGTGCCAAGAGGACAGGAAGAACGTAAAAACATCGAAAAGATATGCTGCGTCCATCAGTATTTGAATTGTACGCCTTGGCGATTTTTGTTGTATCGAGCAGTTGTCAGAGCGCGAGTCCTTTCCGACAGAAGAATATACTCAGCGGTGGCGGTAACTGGAAAAATATTTTGCCAAAACCACGAACAGGATCGGCGAAAAACATACTCAGAGTCACCGAGAATAGTGTAAATACGGTTGAAAAGCAGACCGATGCCACTAATTCGTCGTTATCGTCGTCGTCCTTCTTTGCTTGGGAAGCATCCATAGACGGGCCAACGGGAGTGGCCTCGTCGAACGAACGATCAGGACCATTTTCTTTGACGACCGAAAAATTTCCCCGGTGGTTATCTCGAAAGAGAAAGACACCAACCAAATTAGTTTCTCTGTCACAGGAAGAGCAGGAAAGAATCCATCAAGTGGTGAAAGAGGAGGAAGATCAAGTCGTCGAAATGTCGCGTGAGTTCGTTGAGACCTGGTCGGAATTTTTATGTCGTGTGCCCATTTCACTGGGGATTCTACGTTGTGAGAAAGAGATTGGTGGCAAGTATAAAAAGAGGTTCGGAAAACTTCCTAAAATAAGGTTGCGAAGAAAAAACATGAAGTCAAAGCCATCAAGTAATGAGGCTTGTAATGCGGATTCAATGGTATCGTCGTCATCCTTAATGGCCCGGTTTGTACCCTTTCCCGTGAAGCTTTTAGAGTTTGGAAAAGTAGTCGAATCCTCGTCGCCATCAATCTCATCAGTTCAAATGTCCCAGAAAAAACACAATGAATATGACGATAACAACCTAGTCGTTTTGGGTTCTTGGGATATTCCATTAAAGGGCGGCACTCTAATTTTACAGGACGATGTCGAAACAGCTTCCGATCAATCTACTACTAGTTCCAATCCTGATTATCTTGGCAAACTTACATTTACCATTGCAAAGACAAAGCAAATGGAAGGAGACGTTCACGAGCACGGTGGTGGCGATGATGCATCTCCTCAAAACAGCTATAAAATAATGACAGGGATCGTCGATTATCGCCCATGGTTGGCAGGTGGTGGATACACATCGGACGTGGAAAAGACTGTCGACCACAAAATTTGGGATGCCCTCAAGGCCAACAGAGAAGCAACAACCCGAAAATTATGCCATGCATTTTACCTTTCGACCCAATCAATGGTCCATGCCTATGTAACATGGAGGTTTCACAATGCTTGGAGACAAAAGCTCAAGGCCAATGTTCGGACAACGAGATCTAGGACGGTGGAAAATATGGAACCACTAAGTAAATAGGAACGACTGCGTGATCATATAATAGAAGTCAATGGGTTTGAATTGAAGGGAAGAAGCTATCGATGTAGATTCATGCTATATTGCTTGATTGCGCCTGATGGCATTGTATACTACGTACATCGTAGGTTGTATCCACTTTTTAAAATCCATCATTGTGAACCTACACTCGTGCTAAAAAATTGAATATACATTCCAACTCCCAATTTTTGTATCACTGTGCTACACTAGTTTACAGAGCTTCTACTGTTACTTCATTCGATCACGATATGAATGAGTTCATAGAGTGATTCCTTCCTTTTTCTCAATTTTTTGCTTCAATTTGAGCATTGAGACTGGATCGAGTTCTGCAAGCGTTGATTGAACCCATTCCAACTTGTTTGCATCGCTCTGTAAATGGGCAAGTCGCTTATTCAACATCTCTATTTCAGAGTTCAACATAGAGTTTTCAACTTGGATCTCGCGGAACTTTTGCTCTTGTCTGGGGGATAGCACGTCAGGGTGAGGGCTTCCTTCCGCGACGAAGGATGCCTTGATTGCAGTTTCAAGCTTTTTGCTGAATTGTCCCTCGGGTATCAACTGTATAATATCTTCCCGAGTTCTTGCATGGGGAATAGTCTTGAATTGTTCGCGTAGTTTCACTTGTCGCTTTGCACGACCTTCCGAATACTTCAGAATCTTCCAACGAAGTTTCGTTTGAAGTTGCTTCGTCTTTAAATTTACGTCATTGACCTCTGACTGCAAAAAAGTTTGGCGAGCTGCCTTCTTTCTCATAGCACCTTTAAGCTTCCGCTGCATAGCTTCCTCAGCAATTCTCTTCTCTGCATTCATTGAGTCAAGCTTTTCCGCGTTCTTTCTTTCTAAAATCTCATTGTACTCCAAGAACTTTTGAAGCTTGTAAATTCTGAGATTATTCATTAGATCTGGACTCTTGACCACAAGTTTTGGGTGAAGGAAAAGAAACTCACTGTAAGCAAGGTCAAAATTCTCAACAAATTCCAAATCCATGTCTTCCACATTCGGGTCATTGAAGTTATGAAGGTCGTCGAGATTCCCTCCATTCCCGAGTAATTCATTTTGCCGAACTAAGTGATAAACTTCCCGATTGATTGGATCATTCTCTTCGTTCTCTTCTAGTATTCGAAAAATATTGTCCTTCAAGCCTAAACTATTCTGAACATTCTTCGAACCAGACGGATCCTTCGTTGGGAGCTTATTATCTGCCCCTGTATCCAAGTATTGAAAAATAGCTGCAGTTTCATTCGAAATAGAGCGAGTGTCGTCATTGTTAGTATATCTTGGTGGATGTGCAGAGAATGCCAAATCTTCGCTATCTTCACTGAAAATTCCGGCCTCTAGCTGCAAACCTGCCTCTTCTCGAAGGACTGGTAAGACGGTCTTAGCTGTTTCAAGGAACCTGTAAGCGGGTTTAGAATTTCCCTTTTTAAGCTCATCTTTAATATGTCTGACGACTTGATGGGCTCGGCCAGCAGCTGAGAAGTTGTCGTCAACACATTTAGTTTCCAAGGAATGATAGACAGCTGCCGTTGCTTCTGTCGTCTCCGCATCTAAATGGAGGATACTTTGGAGCAAATGGTTGGCTTCAATGTCTTTTTTACTAGGCTGTGCATTTCTTCCTTTCTTGTTAGAACCTTTTGCYGTGAGTTCTTGTGAAGAAATCTTGTCAACTTGGATCATGTGAACTGTTTTTCCGTTGGGTAATTTGTATGGTGTTGTAGGGAAATTGGGTGATTCATCGCGATACATTCCTGCTTTTGGCATTTCACAAGGTTGATCTCTCGTATCCTCTTGCTGTTGCCGTGAGTGATCAGTATGTTCGAATCCTCTGCTTTCTTTTTGGGTCTTCGCCGGTGAATGCGAAAATCGGCTGTCACGAGGATACGCTAAGATGGATGATTTTGTGAAGCCCACTGCTGTAGCTTTCGCAGGAGGCTTCGAAAATTCAGCATCGTCGACGATTGGGCCACTTTCTGCGTTACCCATTTTACCGGTTCGTTATGGTTGAATCGTTAGCTTCAGATTACAGGTACAAGTTGTGCTTCTGTATTGGTAGAAGCAAAATTTTCATCAAGTGTCGAGGAAAAGAGAATAATAGTGGTAGCAGKTTTCTCAAAGATGCCTCCAAGACAGACATTGTGGACGTATTATGATCGCCAAGAACTCCCCTGGTGCAATATGAGTATTGAAGACATTCAGATCTGTATATATATTATTCGCTACTATGTTTCGTGCGGGATTGAGAATTTGAAATATACCTCCTCTCACAATATATCGTACGTATGTACATACTAAGGAGTCGGAGGTCGGAGGAGACCAATAGGGATTGAGAATGAGTCGTGGTGTGATTCAATAGTTTTTGTGCGTGTGCTTGACATCCACCCGGACGACGAACGTTCAATTCAACCTTGGTATGACGGGTACAAATGATTCTGTACGAAAATACGTACGTACTCGTACAACACTGTACCTTGAGGAGTTACGTACTGCACTACTGACTTCTACCTCGTTACCTACGTACCGTTCCGTAAGAAATCTCCCATGTGGGATCAACGCAGTCGTCATCGATGGGAAAAATAAAATATGAACGAAAAATAACTTGGCATCGGCAGGTTCCACTACGAGTACTTCTACCATGTACAGTATGGTACAGTACCTTGTCGTAATGATGAGAACCATGCATAACGAATTCTTGCAATTGAAAATCTCTCGTCGAGTTGCACTGCACTATCGTTCCATAAAAGTACGGTACCAAACACAGTATCAAGTCAGCACAGACGTTCGTCAGATTGACATCGGACCTTTCATTGACAAGTTCGATGGTCTCGTCACTAGCGATTAAGATGGTACTTTCCGTCTTTCTTCTTTCTCTTCTYCTGAGTGGATCCTTGCATACCGCGAGTGCGTTTTCGATTTCAGCTACGAAGTCAACGAGCAATTCGATTTTAGGCGACAACTTCCAAACGAATAGCTTCCATTCCCCAGATCTTCGCATCGYTTCATTATTAAATGCTGAGGCGCCATCATCTGGCGCAACAGTGGCTGCGATCGAGGATGACAGTCAAACCGTCGAAACTGCTGAACAACCACAGGTAATGGCATCGGGATTTTCTCAAAACATGGATATGCTCGAGGCTTTGCAAGAGGCCGTCGAAATGGCGTTAGCTTCATTGCCTCCTCCACAAAAGAATTCTGGCATCGATCTAGCAGTCGTTAGTGTTAGCAGTCTCTATGACGGCAATTCCAGTCCCTCCTTGGTTGTACCGACTGTTCTATCTGCAGCATCTAACTACGGAAAGGGAATCCAGCACTTGGTAGGGTCGACGTGCGGTGGATTCATTGGTAGTACTCTCGGTGGAGGGAGTGAATCGGCTGAGTTTGAGTCGAATGATGACAATAGCAACGAAAACGACGAGGACTTGGATACCCAGAAAAAGAAGAAAGTTTCCCCCGCTTGCGTTCCTGTAGAACGAGAAGGAGTTCCAGGAGTTTCCATTGTTTTGAGCATCTTGCCCGATGTGCAGCTAGGAACATTCCATGTGACAGGAGATGAGGTACCAGATGATTACGAAAATATGCCGTCCGAGCAGTGGAAAAAGTCGATTGGACTGTCATCGTCACAATCAGGTGACGAAAATGATGGTAGTGGACCTGCCGTSATGGCATTCCCCTCACCTGCCATGTCTAATGAACTTGATGATTTTCTTCGGGGAATGGAGACGCACATTCCAGGTTGTAACATTTTTGGATCAGTTGCCTCAACCGTTTCGTCTCTCTCGAGAGCGAGACTCTTCCGATATGATGCCAAGATGGAAAACTCCGGAGATAGCGTCGTTCAAACTCTGGCCGATGGATGCGTTGGAGTTGTTATGGATGGGGAYATCACTGTCCAGACGATGATGGCAAAAGGAGCAAAACCGGTCGGAGGAGTTTACAATATTGTCAAAGGAGAAGGCTCCACTATTTCTGCTGTTGCCCTAGACGAAGCAGCAACCGAGCTTGTAGTAGCAGCCGAGGAATTAGACGAGGAGGAGGAAGAGGAGGATGACGATGAAGACTATGGGGATGACGAACGCAAGGCTAAGAGGGCTAAAATGGCCGCTGCTTATGCGAAAGCAAGAATCCCTAAACCTGTCCTCGCGGAAGCGAACTTCGTTATGAAAACACTGAGTGACGATGATCAAGCCTTTATGCGGAAATTCATTTTGGTTGGCCTAGAACGTCCTGGATCTCGTGCTGGGACGCCAAGTGAATTGACCCGATTGACGGAAGGGAAAGGACACGGGTACGCCGTCCATCAGGTTGCAAGCGCCTCGATGAAGGATGGCTCTGTTACGCTATCGTTGGGGAGCGTTGATATAGAGCAAGGAACCCGCATGCGTTTCTTTGTTAGAGAATCGGATTTCGCMAAGAAGGAGGTTGAGGCTCTATGGAGAGGATACAAGAAGAGAAGAAGCAAATCCGATGGCGACTCTGCCTCAGCATCACCACCCACGGGCTGTTTTATTTTCCCCACGCTCGACAGAGGAAGTAAGTTCTTCTCTGGAAAGCCCGGATTCGAGGGTTCGACCGTCTCGAAATTCTTGCCCAGCGTGCCTTGTGTTTCAGGATTCTTTGGTAACGGTGTAATTGGYTCGATGAGTGCAGACCCCGAACTACCTTCAGTAGCCGAAGAAGCAACCATGAGTGGGAGTGCCACTGGTTRTTTCTTGATTGGAAGTAAGTCCAATCGCCCTATTTATTCACCAGGAAAATCAGGTGCTTACGACACTGATACAGAAGAGAAAGAATCGGACGCAACTGAGGAGCTGATGGAGGAAAGAAAAWCACTCGACTTAAAGGAAAAGAAAGCGCCAAGAGATGAAAACGGAGAACTCATCCTCCGTCGACGAGAAGTCAGTTCCGGACGTGCCATGACAGTATCGACTGTCGAATGGAGTGTTGCTGAAAATATGGCAACKCCCACTTCTTCCCTTGAGGGTTTCATGTGGGACAAGGAGACAGAGGTAGATCGATTCCGGGAGCGCGTACCCCTAGCGAATCTCCTTTCTCAGTGCAAGTTGTCCATGGTCGATCCATCAAAACCAAAACCTAGGGATTGGATTGGTCCTGTCAAGGATGCTGCGTCCAAGAATAGATTCGTTGTCTTGCCGGACTTCAAACGAACAGAACCAGGAAGCGGAAGTCTGCGAAAGCGATACGACGTGTCAAAGCTTGCCAGAGAATTTACGGCCAAGGGAGTTTCTGCAATTAGTGTCAATTGTGACYCCGTATTGTTCGGCGGGTCTCTCGAAGATCTGACAAAAGTAAGGGAGGCAAGTGCAAAAGCCRCCATCGAATCAAGTACGTTAGATGAYGGAGTCAACGCACCCCCAATTCTAGCATCAGATCTCATCTTATATCCATACCAACTTTATAAGATGAGATTGGCAGGAGCAGATGCCGTGAACTTGATTGTTGGAGCGCTGGCTACGAAGGATTTGGTGTACCTCACGAAGATCGCATCGAGCCTACAAATGCAGTCGATGCTCACAGTCACATCAGTTACTCAAGTAGAAAATCTGAAAGTATTGCCGACAGGCAGCATAGGGGGGCTTCTAGTTTCAAACAGAGAGGTAAGTAGAAGGATAATATGAACATTTGTTTTCGATTCAAAAAATGTCTACTCACTTTTCGATTTCAGCTTGAAGACTTTTCTTTCGATATGACAGGCCGCCAAGCGCTAGATATTCTACAGAGTAGTGCACTAAGAGAATTGAAGGAGAAGCACGGAGATGATATCCCCATTTTGGTGGAAGGTCGTGTAGGCATTATTCGAATGAAGGATGAAAATGGAAAAGAGAGCTCCGAGGCCTATATCAAGGAGCTCAGGGATGCTGGAGCAACTGGGGCAGTCGTCGGAGGAGGACTAGTTTCAGATGAATTCGACCTTCCATTTTAGTTCGCGATCAATTTGGGTCAAGCTAAACGTTATTGTCATGTGCAAATTATCGAGTCGTTGCGGGTCCCCATTCTACTAAAAAACGTATTTTGGTAAAAAATATCTCGTTCTWAAATTGCACATTAATCTACAATGTTCTTAAATCCCATAACTAATTTTTGAAAGGATTTACATTACCGCTGCAAAACCCACAATCAGAACGGTACTCACTGCCGTCAAGAGCAATGGTATATAAACAGCTATTCTTTCGGCATTTGACCCAGGGGCCTCAGTAGGATGAGCYTGAACTTTATAAATCGGCGGTTCCACTGGAGGGAGATAAATCGGGACCCCTCCATTGTCAAACTCTTGGTCAAACAGCGGTACAGGCTGTCTCGAAGGTTGGGCAGAAGCTGTGGGGGCACCAGTAATTGTAGGAGCAGGCGATTGGGTCGGAGCCGGCGAATCAAAATCCAGTCCAATCACTCTATCAATGTGATGGAGGACACCGTTGTGAGCTAGAATGTCGCAATTGTAGACTTTGGCACCACCAACCCACAACTCGTCGTTCTTAACTTCTATTTCGAGTACAACGCCATCTACCGTTGTTACCTCCGTGTGGTTTGCCAATACATCGCAGAACCAGAGACCACGCAATACGTGCCGTACRATGATAGGCCCGCCATCTACCGCATTGAATTCAACACGTTGAAATGCCTTATTGTCAGGTGCGAAAACAGTCAAAGGAATGTCCATGGCAATAAGATCAGTCAAGTCAACGAAATCGATGTTGATCTTGAACAAAGTTGTATCATGGTAATACTGGATCCTATCGTAGATGGAGTTGGAAACGGCCACGGGTGTAATTGTATTATCAATGGTATGCAAATAGCCGTCCATCGCAATCAGATCTCCAAACTCCGATCGAGCTTCCTCGAGGCCATTTTGGATGCGGGGTCGAKCTCCACTCCTGCGCAAGTTGTAGATTTCTCCATTCAACATAGTTATCTTACTAGGAGCCATGGCAATAAGCTCTGCTCGAGTATGGTCACCCATTGTCATATGATTGAACAAGAATTCACAGGCATGTCGATACCAATCGGGAGAAAGTAATCTATTGAAATCTTCGTTGTTAAAGTACGTGAATGCTTCACGGGTGGGACAGAAGAGGGTCAGAGTCGAATTGAACATTTCTGATATATCCTCGGAAGATAACAAACACTGAGCAAAGAATCGGTAGCAGTCACTTGTGTCTACGTTTGTAGATATGGGTGTAAAAAAAGCAAAGTCCGTAATATAGGGAGGGAAAAGAGGGTAATTCAGACCGTGAAATATACTGTGGAAAAAAAGACAGAACCGGAGACGATACGTTAGTGTATTCCTCTTTGCTTCGTTCGCAATCATGTTCATTTCACAAGACAGAACTCATTACAGCGGATATCTATGGGATTCATACGCCCATCCAGCCCTTTCTATCAACGCGTATCTTGACGTACCCATGCTTAGTTGGTTGATCAGGCAAGAGAAGCTCTTGCGATTGGAATCGCACCATATCCTCCGTGGATGTGATCCACATGTGGGTTCCTAGCTCGGATTTGATCAAGATTTGCTCCTCTCCACTCTCTTCGTTAATTGAAAAGACTTTAGCCTGGTGGTAACTTTCCTCGATCATGTGACAGAGAATAAAATCCTTCGTGTATTGGAACATCTCGGGTTTCAACAACGATGGGAAGTCGATTTCGGCCCGATTGAAACGCCGATTCGGAGGAACTAGGAATGTTATGCCCCCCTCGTAAGCAGCATTGAGTCGATCATCGAGTCCGACATACAAGGCCAGATTGGCCATGTTTGAGAACGAGTATTTTTCTTGCCTGCTGTTTAGGAGCTGATCAATCATATCCTGTGCCAAGAACGGAGGGAAAATGACCTCATCCACCACGTGAATTACTCCATCAGACGATTCGATGTCGGCATCCAAAAAGTCGTTGATGTTCACGTTGTCTATTGTCTGTAACTCTTGGTTTATGGTGATGTTCCCCTGGTTTGTGTTCAATTGCGATCGAACTCCATCAAAAATTTCGTCTTTGGTCAATGCTTCATCGATCACTAAATGATACTCGATCATATCTCTAAAATGAACGAAATAATCTCCTTGTGTCATCCATTTGTCATACCGTTCGGGGTCCTCTACACGAAATCTATCGAATGCATCCCCTGTCGGCGCGATGACTGTCTTGCCGATACTCGGAGAGATACCCGCCCTGTCCAGGTATTCTCTAAATGTTGCCAAACGATTGTCGTTCCCCAGTAGTACGTGATTCGAGCTCTGACAAACAACGCGGATGGATCTGTCGGTAACTTGCAACAACAACCATATCGTCATGAACGAGATGTTTTTGACAAATAATGCACCATGGTAGTTTCTTCCTTTKACATTTCTCATTGTCGTTGCGTTGTCGGTTGAGTAGGGATGMGCCTCTTCGTTCTGCGTTCGAACACTGTTGGGAGAAACCTAACTGTATATTGACTGTTTGGTGCTATTTCAGAGGTCGGGCGTGTTCCAAGACAAGCTCGGGAGGTCGATCGTGGTTTTCTTGTGATTTGCATGTATGGTAGCCTTGGGTGGCTTCTACCGTACTTCGTGCGAAATACGAACTGCACCTTCACCTTCGTTCGTATCGACTACAGTACGGTACCTTCGTACTACTGCTCCTCCCGAAGGACATTAAAACAACCAAGATCAATAATTGTTGCAGTCTTCTCGAAGTCATTCTCTTCACCTCAAATGTCATTTATTTGTTTTTTCGTATTTATGACTGAAATGAGGAACGAAACCCGACTAGACAAACAGATGGAAATCCCCATGATATCCGTACCGGTACGTACAGTACCGTATGGTGCGAATGCTGTGTGGCGCTTTCAACGGAAGCCGCCGTCGCGCCTTGGCGTTGTGGTTGCCACTTTCAAAGAAAAGAAATCGGTAGTAGAAGTACTGTACATACTACAATACCTACTGTACATACGACTTCATACATTCTTCTCGTAAGCAGTAGGGATTTTCTGTCTTGCTGCTCTGGGSTTGGAGTTACATAGCGCCACGCAAGGAAGAAAAAAAATGTGAGATGCAGATAAATTTTACGGTTGAGGTTCTCTTTCCCACGTGTTCTTCTAACAGGGACCTCTCCAAATTTCGGTCTGGTTCTTAATAGCCCCCTCTCGCTGAACAATATACATATCTGTATAATGTTATAATGGAATGTCTCAAATTTCACAAGACTTGGTGCACGCAAACCGGTCTTCGAAATGCGTTAGGTTTGTGTACAATGGGACCAGCGGTTTTAAATGAACATCCAAGCGAGCAGGACCGTATAAAGAATTTTGGTAGTGGAACTCTAAGATCCCCTAGACACAAGATTCTAACAGCAACCGGAACGAGACGGCACGCCGCAACGCTAAAACCGTAGTTTTCCATCATCTACCGTATCGTGGCGCTGGTCGTCCCTGACTGCATCTGCTTTTTTTTTTCGCTGTCCGGTGCGTTGGCTGTACCGGAACCCACACGGTAAGAGCCGGCATCTGGGAAGTCGGTAGCAGGATCAAGGTCGTGAATTCTACTGAGAAGCTATCCCCAAAGTGCGGGACAAGCGTTGCACGCCAAACCGGAAGCCATCGGAACGATCCTTGAAAGAGTTGGTTGTCAACACTAATAACTAATAGCAATAACGATAGCAATACCMTCAGAAATCAATACAAACATACCAGCGACGACGAAGAATAAACCACAACGGTAACTGGAACAAGCCTTGTAGCACCATCCACTCGGACCAGCATAGCTAATTGCGACTGATTGCACGGTATCGGGCCTGTGTGACGAATGAAAGGGACGTTTTAGGCRCACTCGTACCTTTGCTTCAGTCCTGGTACTCACGCTAGTGCAACCTTGCTTACAAGCAACCGAAGCGGCGCGAGAGAAACAAAAGGATGAAGAATCGATTGCAGGTAGTTCCGATATCATCGGACGATCATTCCTTTCGCTCCTCTCGGTCTGCTCGTTCCACCGACACCTCGAGCAGAAGCAGCCGGAGCCATAGCCATAGCCGCAGTTTGGTACGCCTTCGCAGTTCAAGCATGAAGAGCAGCAAACGACAAAGCCAGCAAGCCATGTTCAGTAAGAGACCCTATATGTACAAAACAGCGGAACAAACGATATCATCGAGCCCACCCAGTGTTCCCTATCCGAACGGAAAGAGGAACAGGAGCAGAAAGACAAACAAGAGCAGAAATGCAAACACCAAACAGCAAATAACAGTGTTTAATGCGAATCCCGTTCCCTGCTTTGATTGGGTCGAATCCGGAATGGATTTCCTGGGATGCGGAACGATTGCCGACGCCAGCCAAAAATCCAAAGATAGCAAGCGGAATAATGCTTCGCCCAACAGACACGGACATGGCCAGCTTTACTCTCCTCTTAGAGAGGAGGACATACTAGCGAACAAAATGAGGCATCTGGACCTTATGGGACGGGATTACATGCAACTGCACGAGGATTTCTTTGATTCTCTCCTGAAGGAAGAGGGCGACCGAATCCTGGCAACCATGGCAGCGTCCGCGGTATCCTCGCAACAAAACAAAAGCTTCTCAAAGAAGTCTTCGAATCAAAACAAAAACGCTGTCCACAGGTCGTCGACTTCGGTAGCGTCGGAAAACACAAACTGCGACACTCACAGTTCGCTCGACAACTACAGCAACGGTAACAGCAACAGCAACACCAATAGCGGTCACACAAGGACAAGCCTGAAGACGATCTCTTCGAAGACCACGAGCTCGAAAACAATTTCCACTACAAAGACTTCAGGGACCAAAACGGTGTCCTCCATAAAGAGCGTTCGTCTGGGGCGATGCGGTAGCTTTTGCAAGAAGAAAAAGAGTGGCGACAAGGAGATTGAAAAGTACGATGAGATCTACAATCCCGATAAAGATGGTAACAACGCGAAACCTATATCCGCATCGAACGGTCATCCATCGACACCCTTGGCACCGTCGTCTGACACGGCCGCGAACAACGCAAAGAAACTCTCGTCTTCAAATTTATCAATAAGAGATATAATGTCGAAGACACATCTAGAAGCCCCGTCTTATTACTTGCATATGGAATGCAAGTTACAAAAAGACAAGGGGAAAGGAGAGACGCTCGGGAATTCTGTGAGTGCAGAAGGAAGAGAACTAACTTTGACAAAGCTTCGCGACAAAATGAAATTGATTGTAGAGGTATCAGGAGAACTAGAAACCTCTCCCAATAAGAACAAGGACGACACGTTTAAGAGCATGAGTGCCGGGATGAAACGCCGTAGGGCAAAGATTGCATTGATCGAAAACAATAATCGGTGTACCACCGGGGAAGACGATGGGTCGTACATCATCGAAACGCGTTCAATGATCGAATTTCAATTGGGCTTTTTATCGATGCAATACGGGTTGTTGTTGCGATGGGATGCTTATCGGTCGGGACAGATCGTCTTCGTTTGTCTGCGAAAAATGTGCCACGATTCGTTTTACACCAAGATACCTTCTCCTCCTCCCATTATATCAACATCAGTGAAGTCACCAACTAATTCACCAACGGCAAGAAGAGATGGAGCCACATCGCAGTATCCGAAATCCATTATGAAGAAAAGTTCACAGGAACGAATACCCTTGAACACTAACCATACCGACGTTGGACGTTCGGGTCGCATCCCCGACACGGTTGGCGCCATGAAAAAACGAGAGATAACGCCTCCGTTTGTTATTCGCAGCCCCAAAGGTGGCAATCACGCGATTTACCAACGGTCTTCTGGTGCAACGGAGGTTGTACTGGTGGACGCACCCTATCGCGTGCCGCATCCGAAAGTTTTTGCTCCGTCWATCTTRTCCTTGGACGTACACCGTCTCACCGGCTTGGACCCAAAATCCAGGTGGACATTGATTATGACGTTTGACGGTGATACAGAAATTGCCCACCTCAGATACAACCGACGGGAAGGAGTTTTTGAAACAACGCGCAGCGCCCCTTGTACATGGGAGCTAGACATGATGCCTCACGGACGTGCCGCTGCTGCGTCGTTCGATGTGGTGACGGGGCTAGAAATCCGATTATTTGAACAACGTCCGAAGCATCATCGGTTGCGAGGAGTTGCAAATGGGGTTGCAGGAATGGTGGGAGGAAGATCTTCATCGTCATCGTCTTATGTCCCAGCGGGCAGTGATCCGTTTTCGATGTCTTCTCCATCCAATTCGTACGTCATACAAAATCAGCGTTTGACTTATTACAGTGGAAGTGGCAATCACAACAGCGGAAACAACAGGATATACAGGACCAACAGCGAAAGCAGTCTCGGTAGCAACAACAGCGGAACAAGCAGTCTGAAGAAAAGCACCTCTCGTTTGGCGTCAACCATGACCGTCCCGTTGGGAGGACTTGTATGTCAACCGAGCACATCCCAAACTACCCTGTGGAAATTGACTATACCATTTACTCACAACGAAAATGCCGAAGTCACGCTGACTTTGATGCATCAATCGGAGTACGCGCACTGGTTGTACCAAGAATTGCGTGCCCGCCGAAAGGAAGAAGTGGCCGCCTCTCGAGTTTCGCCGCTATGGCGTTCTCTCGTTTCACCGAGGAAGAAACATGGTCATGGTGATAGGGTAGACAGCGACGACGATTTTACTTTTGCCGATCCTTCCGATGACACGGACGACATGAACTGTATAGAGTGTATCTACTTTTGTTGTGTCGATCCGCGGTAGGGACCCGGTGATATTTAAAGGGTGCGGTGGGAAACTATTCATCCCCCAAACAATTTTGCGGTTTCTTTCTATACTCCAATGCAAATGGTATAAGATTTGTAGCGATGGAAATGACAAACCAATGAAAGGTCGAACGTGATTGTGATACGAAGCAATCATATTGAGTAGCGATCACGAGAACTACGACAAGAGACCCCATAACTCATAGTTATATAGAACTTTTTCCACTTGATTGTTGTCCGTAATAGTTCGAGATATTATCGTACAGCTGTTGGATACAATACTGACCATAAGAACAAGAATACAATTGAAACCAGCCACTTGTGACACGAAGCCTTTCCCGGTGTCCTTGGTTCTCTCGGTGAGATGTTGTGCAAATACCGTGCCCCCGGCGACACAAATACTAGAAGTTTTATCATGAGTTTCCTTTGCCAGATTAGCTTGTCCAGTAGACTGGTTGTTGCGGCACTAAGACTACCGCTTATTGCCAGCTACTTTGACTCCATGTCTGCGCTTTGGGGACTCGGGTACTGTTGAATCTCCTTCATTGCTACAACAAAGTAGTAGTAGTACTCGTACTACTCGTACTACTAGTAGTACTAGTAGTAGTACGTCACAGTAGCACTATCAGTAGTAGTAGCTGACTGTTGGTTACCCCCCACAAATGATACAAATACTAGCACTTCCATTTTAGGAAGTTACTGCTGGTGCTGGTGTAAAATAAGATTTCTTGAAACGTTTCAGTGAAAGACGTTGTGAACTTTCTGCATGTGGTACTGCTACTAGTAGTACTTCTTCTAGTACTACTACTAGTACTAGGACTAGTACTGCTGGTGCTACTAGGCCCACCAAGATTGCGGTACTATTCCTCGTACTCCCAACTGTAAAAAGTACGAGTACTGTACGGTACGGTACGTCCTAGTTTGACTGGTGGACATCAAGGTTACATGTAGATTGCTCTTTGGCCTAGATTTTTTCCAAGCGAAATGGTTCCTCAACCCAAATACGAATACCAAGTCCTTCGCAACCACATCGCAACTGCTTGCTGCAGAATCCGAAACAGCCATGGCAAGAGTCACAGGCATCAAGACCACTTACATCATTTGCGAGAATGGCGACACAACAACAACGACGCTACAAAATTTCGACGCCTCAAACGATGATGTATCCGAGGTTCGAGTCGGTTTGCCAATCGGCGTCGAGCCGGTGAAGGTACGTTTTGATCCGTTGTTTTGAATACCATGCGTCGTCTATCATTTCTCCGATTTGGTTCTGAATCAGTGTGATCAGTGTCTACCTAAATGGAGTTAATACAAAACGCGATGGGATGCTACATGTTTTACCAAACTGAACTGACGGGTCGGCAAAATATACGTTTTTGTTCACCACTACCAGCCACAACCAGGGGACGAAGGGTATAGCGGAATGCACGACCAAGGACCTCTTCCTGAACCCAAGGAGGGTGGCCCTGTGGCCTTCTTGATCGGATGCGTGAAAGCAGCAAAAGAGCACAGCGACGAATTTCTCACCAAATGCATTGAAGAAGAGAAAAAGAAGAAAACCCAAGGAGAACAGCAACAGTCCTCTGAAGAAATAATACGCACAACGACACCGGTCGATTCGCCTGGGACTGTCGCAAAGAAGTCTGCGGAGCTACCTAACAAAAGGTCAAAACAATGAGCGCCATAATAAACGATATTGTTTGCGTCAATATCTTTAGCCAATGTAGTATCTCGACCAAAGAACTAAACACAAATAAAGTACGATGTACCGTATAAAGGTAGCTCTCCACCAGAATCAAAGGTAAATTTCCAAGGTGGAAGAAATAAAGAATCAATGCAATTGAGAAATGGATAGTACTTACATCATCCTCTTCCCTCTCTTTTCATTCATGAGAGGAGCTAATTTTAAAAAATAGAATTTCTAGATAGCAGAACAACAAGAATTTAGCTCTTTTGTTAAAGCAATCATGTCGCGCAATTTATGTCCATGAGTCAATTTGGCCATACAGGTTGACTGTATTCTCCAATTTTCTTCAAAATTATGGCACGTTATCCTCCTCAGTTTTATCCTCCGCTACATTGTGTCTAAAAAGATAGAGTTGCCAAGAGAGCTGCGCCTTTTCGACGTCGCCACTTTCATCGTCCAAAACGTTTTGAACGGCTTGAATTCCCCAACCGGATTTAGAATAAATTTCGAGCCATTCGGAGCTCGCTCTCACTCGAGGCCAAACTTGATTTTCTTTTTTAGCGCTGTTGTTGGCTTGCGAATCATCTTGGAATCGATCGTGGGCGATCGATATCCTAGCACTAAGCTCCGAATCAGCACCATTCTCGCGTGATTTCATCATATCAAGGAGCTCTTGCCCGTCATCATTCGTAAATAGGACCGTCACTGGATAGTCTATGGTATCCAACTTCGCTAATTCTTTCGACCCACCTCCTGACATCACAAAGAGGTCGTCCCCATCTTTACCATTGATCACGATAACACCTTCGGCACCATCAGAAAATTTCTTGTTGAACGCCTTTTCTTGAAAAGTGCAATCTCCTCGATGAACTATCGATAAAACGCTTCCAGATGGATCCAGTTCGTTCTCACTCCCAAGAGAAGACGAGCTGATTGAGAAACGACCGCAGCCATACAAATCGGTATTGTCTGGTGCTTGAAGTTTCGCATGTACCTCGAGGTTCTTGATTTTCTCAAGATTTGCGATGTTGGATGGGCCAAAGAGTGCCGGTGAGCAAGGGAACTCGCGCACAATCCTCTGCTCGTTTTTCGATACAATCTCGTGCGGTTCAGAGACGCAAACATTCGCTCCGGTTTCATCATTAGTACAAGTGTCTCCGTCGCGTATCGGTGTTGACTCGATAATTTTGACACTGCAAGAATACGAATTGCCGTGAATGTCCGCCAGGACAACAGATCGAGAATCATGAGTTCCAAAATCAGATGTCGGAGATGATTTTTTGTTCCCTTTCGAAGTAGTAGTCTGATCTGCCAGATCAGTTTCTGCATCTTTCGCGTACACTAATATTAAAGGACCACTGGTGCTAGCCAATGCCCCTTCAATCAATGTTGTAATATATGTCTCTCCACTCTCGACGTGCTTTACATAAAATCCACTACCTCCTGGGAAAGAAGAAATGTCAAAACTCCCCATTCCATTCCCCATTTCGAAACGAGTTGAACCGTTACTTAGCGTTCCTTTTTGTACTCCATTTTGCACTACATTGGACTTCTTGGCATCGCTTTGCTTTTTCTCGTCTCGGACTGGACAGCGAAAGAAAGCATCATAAAGGTGCTCAATATGAACGCCAGCACCGTGAAGACCAAGAGCATCAATGGAACCAAGTTGTATCATGTCATTTTCATGAGCTGAAAAAGTATCAATCGTTCTTGACTTGTAAGCATCAGAATAATCAGCAATGCCGCCGTTCAAAGCTCGGAGCCATAAAAAGTTGCTATTGTACAGGTTGGGACAAGAACTGATAAGCTGTAATTGACTTCCAAGTGGTTGGAACGTTAAGTAGGCAGGATTTGTCATTTGAAATCTTTCATTGAAGACATCAAAAGGACTCCAAGAATTTTCGTGAGAGAAAAGCCGTTCAACTGAGGACGGGAATATGTTGGGAAACTGTGAAACATAGTGCTCTTTTGTTCTTCTACTTCGATACGTCGCTTTATCATTTGCCATCAAAGGTTCCAATTGAGACACAAAATCTCCAATTTTACTTGTGGCGGTCCATTTTTCGTAGATCAAGCCTTCGTTTACATCATGCACCCGCTTTTCCCGCTTTTCTAATCTTCTTCGAATTCTCAATTTCAGTTCTTCTTTTTGMTTCACAAGTTTGTCGGTGACCGATTGCTCTCGCTGCTCGTGGTGGATTGGGTGTGCTTCAGTAGTGAACACCCAGTCGCGTTCCTCGTCTGTGTGTAATATATTGTTCTCGTCGAAGAGTAGATATAAGTACTTCAGCGTCTCACTCAAGAAATAAGATGGCATTTCGTTCGTTAGCCTGACTTGATTTCTATCAGCTTCTAGTTTTCCTGATGTTTCGGGTGATACTTCTCGTGGAGAACCATATCCACATTTCGAGCGGGTGAGTTTTTCAATTAGATGCAAAGCAAAATCACCAGACCAGAGCCATCCAGACCCATCTGATACTGAATGATTACCAGGGCTAGAACGGAATTGAGTTTGAAATCCTTTGCTAGCCCGGTGCAAGAAATAAGCACTTTCTAAAAGCTCCGGGCGCAAGAGATGTTTTCCTCCACCGTAATCAACTCTCCAGGATCCAAATTGGAATCTCTCTGGAAGGAATCCAAGATATTCTCTCGCCAAGAAAAAAGAATTCAACGTCCTCGCTGCCGGTGTAACCTCGCCGAGGAGGACTTGCATTCCTGGATAGAAAGCCATCAGTGCCTCGAGAACCCTTCGAGGTGAACCACTTTGTGATCGTCCTTTATACATATCCACATCGCCATACCATTCCCCTATTCGAGTCTGGTTGTGAAGTCCGCCATACGCCGCTAGTAGCTGCAACCAGAAATCAGAATCCTCGGGGAAAAGAATGTGATGCTTGATCAAGTATTCGTAAAAGGAATCTGAATTCGAGCCTATTCCACTCAAAGTCTCAGCCCAATACCCATCTCTTGTGCAAATGTGTTTCCCAAGAAGCCCGATAGGAGACCGCCGCATCCAAAGTGCTCTTGTCGCGAGCTTGGCTGCACGCCCATAGTCATTGTTGCCAGTGAGTCGACTCAATAGCTCCATTTCAAGTGAAAGAGTCCCTCCGCCTGCAAGTGAGGCAATCGGTGTTTCACCTTCCGGAATTCCGTTCAGTAAGTTCACAGTTCCGTACGGTATACCAGTCTTCGTTTTGAATGCTGGAAGCAGCCTGTCGCCAATATCTTTAGCTAGATTCAGAAGGAACCCATCGTATGCCCAATGACGATCGGCGTGATGTTGACACTTGGTGTCTTTTATTTCATCACAACCATAATTTTCTTTCTTTGTAAGATAGCCCCCGACCAAGATAGTGTCGTCCTCCGCCCGAACGTCTTTTTGTAGGACTTTGCCTTCAAGAAAAGCTATAGCAAGCTGATGCGCAGACAGAAGCCCACCAAGAACTCGAATGTTCGTCTCAAAAACGCTCACATTATGGTTGAGACTGAAAAGACCCTCCCCGGTAGTAGGCAAGCCTGTTAAGTCATAGACGTTGTCGTTCAAGTACTTTAAACGTTCCACAGCCCTTGCAAATTCTGTGTAGTTCCCGAGGATAACCAACGTATCAAGACTATCGATAAGTGTCAATCCAGGAATCTGGACGAGCTTGAAATCAGCTGGCGAACAAGTGATAGGTTTTACTTCTGCGGCTGGGTATCCGTGATACATGTAACTGTCGTATGCGTGTGTGAACATATCTTTGATCAGTTTCAGGTTGCCCTCGATCCTTGTCTTGGGCAGCGGTGGCAGAGCAGCCCGCAAAGATGTGACAATGTTCTCTCTCGTCTTGCCCCGTGCGTCCGCGCGCGATTTTCGTGTAAATGCATCGGTGACATGGTTTTGGATGTAGTGCAATGTTTCATTGATTTCTTTCATACCAGATTCTGTCAGAAAATTCATCTCTGCATCTAAAGGCGGTGGAGTGTTTTCATCGCCACGGCTGATAGCATTGTCCATTTTTTCTGGTTTCTCAGGACGAGCTTTGCAAACGTGCAAGATGTACTGGCAAAGACGAATTTCCTCGACGTTTTCTAGGATCATCTCTCTCCCTTCTCTTTCTCTACACTTTTCGGAGGTATTGTTGTGAATGACAACAACGGACGATCGGCGTTTCGACCCTCCTTCGACACAAATATCTCCGCCTACATATKGACGAATGGATTCAGCGGTTGGATACATCATTCTTGCGGTTGTCGCGAGACGATTCGCGTCTTCTACGCTTTCTGCCATGATTTTATTTTCTTCTGGGGTCTCGGACGACAAAACATGTACCGAGCCCAGGTTGTAGTTGGGACGAAGCACGCCACTCCCCTGTCGTCGTCCCTGGTAAATAGTTAGCGCTTCTGGACACCACTGGAACGACCAATGGGAATCGACACTCTCTGAAAAGCAACAACACGAGGTATCTCCAGTGTGTTTGTCGGGTTGCCTCCACCGAAGGTTGCCCGTCTTCGATTCGGACTCAGCACTAACCGCCGTTGAAGTTGACTTCGGGGGGGTCGATGAGGCTATTGCTGTCTCTTGTTGCTGGGCTCGGTTCATGTATTTCTTCAGTTCCGGCCAATAATCGGAAAACTGAGACGCATAGTGTTCTTCCAGGGTTTTCTCCATTAGAAAGCCACGCCGATTCGTCAGATCGTCGATCGAAGTGTGCTGCGAGTGCGAGTGCGAGTGCGAGAGACCGTCCGTTGATGGCGATTTCACACCACTCGTTGTGCCCCCGACAATGTCTTTGATGGTGTTCCACATCGATTCGAATGGGTTGTTTCTTCTGTTGTTCCTGTTCTTCGCTCCCGCACTTAAAAACGTGTTTAAGATGTCTTGGGTCGTCGTTTCCGTTTCGGGCGACGGCGTGCCGAAGGATATCGGGAAAAAGAGGAGGGCCATAATGGAGACGTTCACGAGYAGGCACACTATCCGGATCCATTTTCGTGAGGTCTTCATGGTCATGAACGCCATGCCCCCGTGTATGATTGCTTATTTTGGTGGCCCAGCGGTCGTTTCGGTTGCGAGCAAGAACCAAACACTAGCAGGGGAAAAGAGAAACGACGAAGTACGCCTAGTCGCTTTTTTCGTCGAAAAATAACGATCGAGTGGGTGGCTGTACTAGGCGGTGTTCATGCCAACGTTCTGATTCTATTTCTCCCTTGCCTCCTAGTCTTCGGACATGGAAGGAAGACGATTCCGGCAAACGGTGGTGTGTGTTGGTTCGAAAAATCTCAAAGCGAATGCTCCCCTTTCATACCGTTTTTTACGGTTCGTATCGCCTCCTCCTTACCCTGTGTTGTACGGTACGTACCCGCACGGTAGCGTAGTGAACAGAAAGAAGAAGAAATATTACGAGTACTTGGTAAGTACTAGTAGTATTATTTTTCCGACGCAGGTAAGAACGCGCACTGGCTAAACTTGCGGTGAGGCATCGGTATGACTCTTCGTACGCATGGTCACTAATCGATCTAGTTGAGTGTGACGCAATTTTTAACGTATCGAAATTTTCGCTTGGGGCTTATATACTAACTTGACCAAAGCGTGATCGGCAACTGAATACGAGCAGGGGTACGAGTAGTACGTACCGAACGAGTRTAGMAGTACCAGTACTGCGTACTGAAAGGCAGTGCTTGGAGTTTGGTGAAGGAAGCAAGAGGAAAAGAGTTGTAYCGATATTGCTTTCGAATGACAATGACACCTTTCATTCGTTCTAATACCAGCAAATCCTTGCACTACAGCTTCCTTTCTTCAAGCCAAACCCATCAGCCTGCGAGTTCGGTTCCGACGCCACTTCAACAGTACCTTCAACAGAAACCTAGCTTTGTGCAGCAGAAGTGAAGACCGGGTCATGGCAGTTTCGAATCGAAAACCGAGGGACGGAGCAGCTGGTAGCAGAGCAAGAACGAAGATCTCGAGCAAGAGGGGAACAACACCCCCACGACTCAGGCGACGCAGAATTCGCAGAAATGTCTGCCGGAGATTCAAAGCGGTTGCCGCAACGGTGATGTCAGTTCTGCTGTTGCTGTGGATTGCGTTCTTTTGGGGGGTTTCCTCTGGTTACTTCGGCTCGTGGATTCGGATGCCGATGGGGTCGGGAAAAGATTTTCCGCTTTCCCCCCATATCTCGAATCCAAAGCCGATCCCCAGCGGTGTCAACGACCATGATTCTTTTGCGATGAACACAAATGCTTACCAGTCTCCGCTGCTCATCATAACCTGCAAGAGGCCGAACTATTTGAACAGAACCCTCGAACACGTCTTGGCCACGATACCACAACCGTGTGGGTTCGGATGTCCTGTGGTTGTATCGGAAGACGGGGATCGCAAGGAGAACGAAGAGCTCCTGTTCTCCTTCCGGGAAAGATTCAAAGCAAAGGGGATACCACTACTGCATATCCATCACAAAGAGAAAAAAAATTTGAGGCAAGCCAACTCCTACGTCAAACTAGCGAGACACTTTGGATGGGCCATCTCTAGCGTTTTCGACGGAACCGCTCTTTCTTCAGACGCACTCCCCGAACGAATCATGATACTGGAAGAAGATATCGAGGTCGCACCTGACTTTTTCTCGTACATGGAGTCGACGAGCACGCTCCTCGATACCGATCCAACACTCCTTGCCGTGTCGGCGTTCAACGACAATGGGCATTTGAAGTACGGCGATCCAAAACGACTCCTGCGATCGGATTTCTTCCCTGGGCTGGGATGGATGATGACGAGAAATCTCTGGACGGAAGAGTTGCAATCGAAGTGGCCGTATAAGAATGGGTACTGGGACGACTGGCTGCGGGAAACGGAACAGCGGAAGAATCGGCAGATCATCCGGCCCGAAGTAAGCCGGACCTATCACTTTGGTTCCAAGGGAGGCGCTAGTCAGAATGAGTTCGGCAACATCCTGGAGCGCGTCAAAATTAACAAAGATCCAATCCGATGGGAGCGAGAAAATCTTTCCTATCTGGAAAGCTCGGCATTCGAAGCCGAGTACGAGAGGCTGGTAAGCAGCAGTAAATTGGTAAAAACAGTCAAAGATGCAAAGGAAGTTGTTGAAGACTTGAATGCGAGAATCGAATACGAAGACTTCTCTGACTTCCAGTTACTCGCAAAGGAGCTTGGTATAATGGATGACGAAAAGGCCGCTGTCCCTCGCACTGCCTACAGGGGAATAGTAGAGGTGCGGGTCGGAACGAATCTACTGTTTTTGACGCAAAAGGGAGAATTTAATGGCTACAAACCAGTTTTATTGCGAGGTAAATACAAACCTAAAAATTAAGATCGGAAGTCTGGGTTCTGTCTTCGTCGAAGCATATTAACGGTCAGAAAACCAATTCGGAGAGCTCTTTCGGCATCACCACGAAAGCATTGTTACTGGTTCCTGCATCGAAGGCAACAGGTCGCTTCGCTTCGATCTCATCCTGTTCAGCATCATGGATTTTGTGCTCTTTACGTGCCTGTTCATGTATGGAAGAAAGTTCACAAGTAAATCGACTGCCTTGAGACGCCGTTCATGCGATGCCGCGCTAGATGGGAAAAATGTGAACGAAAGGAAGCCAACTGGTGGCGGCATAAATTGATTGTCATCGGTATTGCTCATGATGTTTTGCAGTTCCTTGGTTGCTTGGTTTGGTCGTCGGTATTCGCAGTGAGGAGTCAAAGGTATCTTGCGTTGGATCACTTCAAATTGTTGAAGAAACAATCTAGCCAAGCATCGTTCCATCTCCTCTTCGAACGAAACAACGAAGACTACCATTACCCTTGCAACGAAAGAGGAAATATTTGAAGAAAAATTGAATTAATTCGAAGTGCACACCATCAAAGTTTCGTAGCGCGTTCACAAAGTCGGAATATAGTTTATTGAAATGTTATTAGTGACTCAACTTACTTTCCGCTAGTACTGATGCAATGGTATGTACCGCATTTGCCGTGCCTCCCAAGTTTGTAGCAAACGTCTTCATTAGAAGTTTGTTCTTCACGAGGGTTGTCCATCAGACTGAGACTTTTCAGGATAGGTGCTCCGGTTGCCTGAACCCGAATCTGTGAGAGACTCAATGCACAACCATCAGGTGAGTCAAAATGGCGAAGAGCTTTGTTGGCTATAATCGAAATGACGACTTTGTGCTCATCGTCAAACCGACTACAACGAACGGAAGTACCATACAGTGTGCGAAGGTAATCGATAGATACATTATGAATTTCAAAGTCTGCCTGGAAGGTGACCTGTAGCTCAATTTGTGACTTTCCTTCGGTCTGAGAGACAATAACTCTGATCCGTGCTCCAAAATCAAGTAAATTGACGGATTTCGATTTCAGTCGTTTGTCTGTGCCTAATCCGAGCTTCTTCAACAACGAGAAGAGTATCCTATGTGGCCCCGTAACTAGCATCATCTTTATCATGTATGTTGCTATTTGATACTTGTATATGTTGTCGTCAAGAATTCAATTTATGGCTGATTACAATACAACATTTTATTTGTAGGTTCTTTCTTGATATGTACTAGAAGAAAAAACTATTTTCAAAAACCATGTCGTTAGTCAAACTAAAATTACTGCAGTAGTACTTTTCTTAAACTCGAAATTGAAACTGATTATTTGAATGGTTTTCTCTCGTACAGTGTGAACAACCCAGGGAGGACAGGATAACTTCGCTTGGCGCCGTTTCTGATCCACTTGAAACCAAATTCCATCTTCTACTGGTACATTTCAATTATTACTACAAAGAACGTCGTAGTAAACTTAAAGAGTCGGATGTTAATGTTTATGTACGATGCAAAAATATGTTCTTGAATATTAAGTAATGCGAGTGCGTTCGTAGCGAACTTCTTACTCTTGCTGCTCGTCGACGGTGGCGAGCTTGATGGCTCGTGCCAACTTCGAGTTTGGTGCCTTGACGACACGAGCGAGCTTCGTGGGAACGGCGTTGATACCACCGGCGATCTTGGCGTAAAGTTCTTTCTTGGATGGAAGCTTTCCGATGGCTTCGACTCCCTTTGCATCATAATTGTTTCCTTCTACGACACCTCCAATAATTCCGTGTGTTTCCTTCTTACCGGTTTCTTTCGTGAAGGCATTCCACGCCTTGATGGAGGCGCCAATATCTTCTTCGATGAAAAACCACATGTTAGCTCCCTTTAGCAAAGAAGAAGCGGCTTCTTCGAATTCGGTGTCCTTTACGGCACGGTTCATGAGGGTGTTCTTGACAACAGAAATCGTGGTTCCCTCGGGCATCGATCGCCGAAGACTTTGAGATTCTGCAACAGTGATGAAACTGGCAGGGACCGAGAAAACCATCTGTGAACTATCGAGAAGCCCCTTGACAGCTTCGACCTTTTCTGCTTTTCCCTCTACGGTAGTTGCATATCCACTTGATCCACCGTAAAGTTGTGTCTCCTGTCGTACCGCAGGTTGAGCAGTTTGGAAGGCACTCGCTGTAGCGAGGCCTAGTGTCATAAGAAGTGCGCTTCGGACCATCTTCATCTACAATTATACTATGTTATACAAATGTGTCTCTCTGTAAGTCGTGGCGTATGCAATATATTGCAGGAACAAGATGTGAGTATGGAAGGAAACAGACTAGTAAGAAGTGATGGTTCGTTTCCTGTGGATGAGAAGAGTAGATGATGATGTATGATGTCTGTTTTCTTGCAATTGTTTCTTCTCTGCAACTTACGCGTTGATACCGTGAGATTACATACGACGAACGAACGATGATGATGTGTCCTCGTGTTCTCAGCGTGTGGCTCGAATAGGTTCACTGCTGGTTATTTTTCATCTTGACTCAACGGTGACGTACGTACGTAAGAAGTAGTACATTTTGCGATGCGAATCCCGATTACGTAGGGTCGATACTGTAGATTGTACTGACTGTAGAACCCTAGTACTCGTCCGTAGCGGGAATCCAATCTTCACTATCGTCGAACATACATACATACATACATACATATAATATGAACATATGACTGGCACTTAGCCTAGGGACCATTACCATTAACCATGAAGCACCAGAGACCAGAGTCTCAGTCAATTCATCCTCCGGTTCAACTTTTTTTAGGGGTGCATAAAGAGGGGTTTGCAATTTTTTCATTTTTTTACACAAAAATCTTCAAAACAATAATGTGAGTACGAATAAGTACTGGTATCATACTACTCCTACGGCAGGGCTACAGAACTCGATGGATACGGCACAAAGAATGGATACCGTACGGCAAACCTTACCAAGTTTTCGTTTCTCAAACTTGGTGTGCCGACTTCGACTATGGTAGTACGAGAACCGTGCAGCACCATCCATAATACCGCATCGGCTGTCGACTATTGCATGCAAGCAAAAGAGTGGCACCAATCGGACTTTTGATTCCGAGAAAACCGCGCTGTACTTTTAGGAGCCAACTCGACGGAAACGATTCAAACTTCCGATATCGAAAGAGATGAATTTGGAGCTGCTCGATCCTTTTCGAAAGCAAATTCCTGACCGAATCGATTCGACGTTGGATCTTCCAACCACCTTTCATTTTAGGAAACAAATTGATTCGAAAGAGAAGGGTAGCAAAAAAGTTAGCGTTGAAGAAGATTGGAAAGCGGCCAATCACATAGCCTTCAATCGCCGTGGATCTTATATCGCCGTGGGATACGGAAGTGGGACGGTTGGGGTATTTGATGTGCTGAGTCGGACTGTGAGTAGTCTGTATCGACAAGAGAAATTTGGACCATCGTCGTCAGCCTCATCATCTAATACTAAGGGTGGCAAAACAAAGGACTTGGGGGCGGACGATCATGGGGTGACGTCTATGTCTTGGTCGCGACGCTCTCGAACGTTACTAGTGGGATCGCTCGGAAGTCCAGAGGTGAGACTCATAGATACGACGCATCCTTTCGGTCCCGAAGAGTGCTGCACCGGGATCCAACTTAGCGAAAATAAGGATGGAGATGATGATAATTCAAGGAGCAACTCACCTGCCCCAATAGATTCGAAAGACGTAGGAAAGCACTCTGGAAAGCAAACGCCGTTTAAGGACAAGCCGGGAAAAGATCACTACAAAAAAGCTGCTAGATTGAAGACCCGAATGATAGAAACCCAGGAAGGGATGCCTTTTTCACCCCAATCTTCTTTCTCTGAAAACAAAATAGAAGAAACAAAGTCGTTTGAGCCAGCCAACAAGTCAACAACACGTCGCTATCCCTGGGTTGAATTCAGTTTTCCACGAGGGATCGGAAATTCTCTCCAGATACATCCTAGAAATCCTTGTGCCGGACAAGCAGTCTTGAAAGATGGATCACTGGTAGCTTTTTGTGTGCCAAAAGCTGGATTCGAAGGATCAAAATCGAAGAAGCACACATCAAAAACGGTTGATGATGACGTACAGATGAAGGAATCTAGTGACGAAAAATCAAAACACGAAACACCAGTGGTTTGTGTAGCGACCCTGTTTAAAGGAGATGAATACGAAGTATTTTGTTCGACATTCGATCCCCAAGGCGAAAAGATATATGCAGCCACAAAAGATGGAAAAATACTTGGATTTGAGGTCAAAGCAATTTTTGATCTCCTTTGTAGTGGCTGCGACACAATACCACCTCTCGAGCCAACTTTTGTCATACAGATCCCAGGCAACGCTTGGGCTTGGCAAATTATAGTGAGTCGAAATGGTCATCAACTTGTAGTCAATAGTAACGATGCCGCGCTCCGTTTGTACAGCACAAAGGAATGTTGGGAGAGGCCCGCTGAGGTTGAGAAGCCTCTCTTTGTTTTCCAGAATATTGTTACCAAGGTTAAATTTGTCTCGTATGATCTTTCTGGTGATGGGGAATACTTGGTTGGTGGAGCGCAGGGAAACGATGCAAAATATGAACTTTATATCTGGAATACAACTACAGGTGCATTGATGGACAAATTAACCGGTTCCAATGCCCAGTTGTATAGTGTAGCATGGCATCCCACGCGAAGCTTTGTAGCGGTTGCCGCTGATGATGGGCTTGTGGACGTGTGGGGCCCGAGAATCAATTGGACAGGTGAGTGTTCCATGGGAATACAAGTATGGATCCCCATTTTGGTTCTAAAACCTTAGCTCACAATACTGTCATCCTTGCATATCATCCGCAACAGCTTTCGCTCCAGATTTTCAAGCCCTTCCTAGAAACGTTGAGTACGTGGAATGTGAGGATGAGTTCGACATAGTGGAAGATGAGAATGGAGGGTCGGCATCAAAAGAAGAGGATAGTGAAGAAAACAAGGTTATCGACATTCTGACAATAGAACCTGTTCCTGTATTCCAATCTGATTCTGAAAACGAGGAAGATGTTTTCACCTTTGAACCCGCAGTTGGTAGGCCCTCCGGTGGAAAGGGAGGGAGCGACAATGCAAATTAAATTGGAAAGCTTTCTGTCATTTTAGGTCGATTGAGTTTCGTTTGACAGTAAACATTTTCACTCGAACTAGTTTCAAAAAGATGAGGCAGTAGCTCCCATGTGTCTGGCAATTAAATAATCGATTTCTGAAACTTTGTAGTCTTAGAATTCTGATGCCATATCCTGCGTCCATACTTGAAAAAAGTGCCGATCAGAAAGTAGATTCTCGTGGAGTCAATAAAGAGAATATACTAGTGGCAATACTCACTCATGCTACTACTGCCATGTGTCACGACATCCAAAGCCACACGGTGGGTCTTACCATTCCTTCTGTTGCTTGGTTGTTGGGTGAGTAAAAAGTAATGCACTTCAAGCATGCATAATTACGTACCCATATATCATCAACACTTGTGATATGATAAAACAATAATGATATGTACTGTAGCTAGTACTGATACTATCACAGGCATGATAATACTAATTTGTTGGCGTTGCAAGATGACTCATGATTGATTTTTTTTATTTGATTTTATCACATTCCTGGATGACATAATAATCAAAATATGTAGTTATTCCCTGTGAATTCTCTTCACCCTAGTACTCCTTGTTGGTAAGTGCATGATACAATAGTATTTGTTTGATAATATTACTAGTAGTAGTTATCAGCAATACTAGTAGTAGCATTACCATTCCTCAGCACTGATATAATTCTGAAACCTTAATAAAGTTCAATTGAAAGGTTTTTAATTAGTCAATTGCCATATCAGCAATTCTAACACTAATAAAACAAAGAAGGGATGATCCATCCTTTCCCATACCAGGCAAAACTTTTGAAATATGTCAATCAGGTGAAAATCTGAACAGATTAGTACCAATCACATTTTTTGAATTATGTCATGGCCCAGCTGGCTGGATGATTTGATATATCCTGAACAATTGTGTAAATCTAGTACTGTACACACTACTGTGCACACTAATGTGCACACTAATGTTCAGTAGCTAGTTGTGCCATTCTTGCCATGCATTGAGGATTTCAACACTGCTATACACTAGTAGTGTCATTGTCTAAGGCCTCACTCCTGCCTAGTAGATCTATCTTCTCCCCTTAGGTTTGGAGATACTACTAGCATTTGTTGCTACAGGCAAATCAAGGGCAATTGCTTAAATTTTCAGAAAATCACAACAATACTTATGCAATGGGTACGTACGTATACGCACATAAGCATACCTAAGATAGGGAAATAAGCATGCGTACATACGATATGGAAATACGTACGTGATACAGGAATAAGGATACGTATGATACAAGAGTACGGAAATACCAATACGAGGAGACATACCATTCCTATCTATGTATGATAGGTTACTATTCCTATCTATGTACTATCATACAATCCATCATACCAAGGAATCTAAGAGGTCTAAGATACGAGGTACAATGACTTCGTAAAAGAACAAAGATGTCACGAGTTAAGAATAGAAGGAACCCAATGTAGAATCAGTACCAAGATCTACATAGGGATCTAATTGGAACTCAAGAACACACTGGTTAACACGTAATAACACGGTGATGCTTTAAGATACAAAATGATATTATAATTCATTATTTTGCACACTTGAAAAGAGAGTACATGTAATCTCATGCAACTTAACCTCTTGAACAAGAAGAAGAACCACTATATCTGGGCCAGAGCCAATAACACTTCTCCTTCCTACTACTACTAGGGAAAATAATGCTCCTAGTAGTTGCTCCAATGGGCGACACCTCCCTTTGAGGAGGTTTTGTGGAGGTTCAACCAGGATTTATGAACAATACTGACAAGCCAATTAAGTCCTGGGGCTGGAGTCAGATGGCATAGAAAGAGTTGGTTCACAGTTTGGATGAATGAGGAGAGACTGGCAAGCGAAAAGGTAAGTCACACAAGGACACTTGCTCAAATAGATTGAAATTTGCTTGATTGTCTGTACCATAGTACAATATTTATTTTACACTGTTGTTCCCCAGCATCAATACTATCCAACAATAGTATCCATCAGTGACTCAAATCAGTCCTTATGCACTAGTACTAGGGCAGGGCTGTAATACATGACTAAGTGCCCAGACCAGGATGATACAATTACTTAGTGATCCAGGTCATTGGGATACTTAAGGATGCTCTGGTGGCTTAGAACTAGTCTGCCAAAGTTACAATAGTAGTGAGCCAAAATTGAGCGTTAATTTTGGCTGTTTTTTTATTGAAGTTAAACTCCTACTAGTATGAATTTGTTAGTATTCAAGCAACATCTGCTTATCATCCTCCATGAAGGAAAGAGGGTGTAGGGGATCATCAGCCCACTACTATACAAAGCTTGATTCTGATATTGTGTGAAGGACTTCCTATTTGTTGTATATTGCTGCAAATTTGAAGTGATATAAAAGAGAAAGAAATTAACAGATCATTGAATAAAGCATCCTCCTTGGCTCTTGCTTACCTAGTGCCTCTTGTTCTAGTTCACAAGGTTAAAATTTGTACTGTTTTGAAACCAGAAGCACTAACTGTAATGTTAAATATTTGTTAATACTTTCTTCTCCTAATCAACATAAACTTGTCTTTGTTGAATGATCCAAAAAGAGGCAAAATAAGAAGGTCAAATACAAGACATTTCTCTCTCCCCCCACAACATTCTTTCCAGATCCTGACAAACCACCTTGACAAACTTCTTTGCCTACTAAATTCTCAACACAATTAGTGATGATGCTGTTTCTGGCCTTCATATTAGCAGTGCCTCTTCTAGTTCTCTAGGTTAATGGACAAAATAATATTTGTAGTAAGTTTTTTATCTTCCTCTGATGAGGCACTGTAGTCAATATGAAAAGTAGGATGCAACAATATGGGGGGATTGTACCTTGATTCAGGGACAACTGAATGGTATTGCAGACAGTGTTAGGTTGTGGACCCTTATTTCATCATACATTTTTTTCTGTAATACAAATAATACATACCAGTGCCCTGTATTGACACATCTTATTGTATAGTGTTGACAGAGTGATTCTGGCTGAACCATTTGCACATTTTTAATCCTATATTCATACACAAATATTGATATATTCCACTACTAAGACCCCTTGACTCCCCCACCATACGGTTAGAAAGCTCTTAAAAATGGTTTCCAATTCATGTGCTTACCATACTTATGCGTCTGTTGGGGAAAAAGATATAGCTGTTCTAGGGAGTTGAACCTCTCTTAATGTTCTACTTTTTTTGTACTGTATGTTGATTTTGCGCCATCTACTAGTAATTACCATGTAATGACTCATGGGATTAACAATTTGACTTGTAGTACTACATCATACAGCTGTTCAAGTGAGTTGAGTTGAACCTCTCTTAATATTCTACATCTTTTTCTACTGTGCATCAATTTTGGGCTATCTTTTTATCATGTAATGACTATTTTTGACTAAGCAATTTGCATGTGTTTGAAGCCAAAATTGTCAGTTGAGGATGTGTGGGCAAAACTATTTGGTCACAGGACTGGTGGGATTCAAAAATTCATGCATTTTGTACATTTTAGTCAAAGTAGTCATTACACGCTAAAATAAGGGCCCAAAATCTACAACCTGAGCATACATTTTGTAGCTGACTCTACTATATGATACTGTCAGGATCTCTATTACAAGAATAAAGAAACAGTGGTGGCAATAGTAAGAAGGAATCTCCAAATATTGCTGTCAACATGGTGCTGTTGTTTTGCCTAATTATGCTTATCAACACAATGGCCATGTTTACAGCACAATAATGGTGGTTTGAGATTCCCTGTCACAGTCACTAGTACTAGTGCTAATGGTGCTGGTGTCAGGAGGAAACCTAATTGTAGATACTATCATTGTAGGCAATCACAAGATCTTATTTGAATGACAAAATTATTTGATAATGAAAGTGCAATGTGTAGTGTAGTACTAATGGAAGTCAATTGGCAGAGTATTTGGTTTGTTTGCCACCACAGCAGCTGCTGGTAAATTTTTACTACTAGATCTGCTAGCAGTACTAGTACATTACTACTACTACTACTACTACTACTACTACTACTACTACTACTACTACTACTACTACTACTACTACTACTACTACTACTACTACTAACCTCAGTACTGATGGCTTTTTGATTATGAAATAAATATACCTCAACAACATCAATTACTACTCTTACTTGTAGTAGTAGCACTAATTTATTGAGAAAATGAATCATCACATGAATAAATGCATGAAATTAATGTGTCCCCATGTAGGGTACAAAAATAAGAAGATAAGGTAGCTACTAATTGTAGTGTCAAACAGAGGTTGCATTACTAGTAGTACCAGTAGCAGCCAGCAGGACTCATCCCACTCCAGGGTCTAATGCAGAAATGYCATGATGGAAATAGTGAGATGGACACTGTTACCTCCTTTCTATACTAAAGAAGATGGACTCATCATTATTATTTGGTTGTCTCACCAGGGTGGAAAATCAATATCCATTATTGATTGTTATTGCTTTATCTGGTACATTTTGGGCCCTTATTTTTGCGTGCAATGACTACTTTGACTAAAAAACTGACTTGTACTCCTGTTACAGCAAGAGCACATGCATGCAGGACTATTTGGTTGCAAGACTGGTGGGAATAAAATTTGAGCACCTACCCTGCTGTACCAGTAGCACAAGTCAAATTGTTAATCCCATGAGTCATTACACGGTAATTAGATGGCCCAAAATCAACACACAGTAGAAAAACAAGTAGAACATTAAGAGAGGTTCAACTCACTAGAACAGCTATATCTTTGTCCCCCAAAGATGCTTAAGTATGGTAAGCACATGAATTGAAAASCATGTTTAAGAGCTTTCTAACGGTATGGGAGAGTTGGGAGGTCATAGTGGCATTTATTGATATACAACATGCATGGATATTGAGCATTGCTAATGTGGTACAAATGACACAGCTGGAAACTCTCCGCCGACTATACAATAATCTTGCTAGTAGAAAATCTTGCTACTAGTAGTAGGAGTATAAKTAGCTACCTAATACTTTCCCCTTTCAACCAGTATTAGCAAACAAGTGACCTCAGCCAACATAAAAGAACCCTGTTTGAAGATCTGTTCTGACCTTTCATTTTGTGAAAGTCTAGTAACAGAAGTTACAAATAGTACTACTAATATTGAATTTGCCCAGCAGTACTTCATACTTTGTTGCATTAGTAGTACATGTTCTGGTGGCTTCCTTTGTCCCAAATGGGTGTCTAA